AGTCTTCCTTTTCTGACTGATCAAGTTGGGATGGTTGACACATGCAGTGTTTGAAAGAACTGTATTTTAATATTGTTTGGAATAAATATTTTCTTTGTATTTTTCATAGTAGTTTTAAAGAAAGGTTATGTAGTAGATCTTAATTGTCTGCCTTTTCCCTTTAGTACTATTTAAATAAAATTAAATACCTATTAAACGTGCATTTCTAAGATAGTCTTGCAAAGTAGCAGTCATCAATTATCATTACACTGTTTAAGTTGCTTTGAAAATTGAATGTTTTTACAACTAAAAACTATGTGAATGAAGTTCTTTCGATTTCACTTAACTCAATTAAAATTCTCAGCAAGTTAAATATATTGAATTGTTTATCTATGGCAAGACATAGGACACCAATTAAGTTTACATGGAAAAATGCAAATTTGTGTTTTGCGAATGTCAAGTTGACAGAAGCTTAATAATGTAAAAAGGACTAATCAACGCAGAATATGTTTAGTGTCAGTAAATATTTATATTGAAGAATGTTTCCCATGAATGATGAGGTGCCACAGGCAGTTTATTCTCAATTTTACTAATTAAATTCTATGACTCGGATCACGATGTTCTTGCAATTTCTGTATCTTTTTGTACAATATACATAAGCCATTATGTAGACTATGGTGATAAATGGCATATGGGATACCCATTCAAATTATTTTTATTCCAGTATTTAAAGCTGATAATATATTGCAATTTTTAATTTATTAAAAATTAATTTATTAAATATTGTAATTAATCTGTTCCAATTCTGTCTTAAAGAGTAAAATGTAGTTCTTTAGCTGAAGACAAGGAGTTCATACTTTTGACTTTTGACTTTTCTGCTTTTCATTTTTATTTTACTGTATGCCACAAAGCCTAAAGTGATGAGGCATTTTTTCAGGAGAAACGTTGCTTACAATTGCAATTATCAATTTAAGCTGAGGGATTGTCAAAAGAATTGCAAAAGGAGGAACAGCTCGAGATACTACTAGCCTTTCTTTCTTTGATTTACGTTGTGCTACAGGGTTGCTTGGCCTTCCTGTTTAATATGAAATAACTGGAGGAAAATTATGCAGAACTTTGGAGTTTGCTATTGTTAGGCAGTTGATATGTCACTGGAATTGTGCCTAGAATTAGCTGGGGAATGAATATGAGCAAAGAAAGCGAAGTGTAGTGCCAAAATACTCTTGGTCACTATGTTGCCTGATCTAAAAATGGATGAAAATGCCCTGTGTGTTTTTTAAAATTTATTTTTTAGAATGAAGAAATATGTATTTAAAAAGAGAAATTTAATTCTTAAAGGGCAATGAAAGATGTATTTTGTTAAGCTAATTCTAACCATGTTTTTACTTTGGAGCAAAATCAAAACTGGTAACACTTTTTTTTTTTTTTGCATCGATATCTGTTTATCTGTGTTTGTGTCTGTCTGTCTATCGAGTTTTGTGATTTTAGTCTCAGTTGCTTGGATTATTAAGTTTATTATTTTTTTGTAAAAGTACAGAGGAAATATCATTGAAAGATGAATGTATAGTTCAATGTGCGTATAGGCTGGCCTTTGCTTGATCCTTTGAGAATGTAGGGATAATGTCTGGCTGATGTTTTTCAAACAGCAGGTAACCAAGGGTGAACTCCAATAGGGGTCCATGTTTCTGTAGCCTCATAGTTATTCACACAGATGGGGGACATCTTGTGAACTCTCACTGGGGTCAAGCTAAACTGCAAATCATGCACTGAAATTTCTGAAGTCTTGGGTATGAAAACTCTCTGGTTGAGAACTGAAGCTCTTAACTTTGCTTAGTTGGTTAAGCATCCAAATTTGAGCAAAAGAAAAACATATGCTCAGAGATTTAATTTATATTATGGAAGCGTTTTTATAATACAGGTAGTGACCGTTTAAAGTTACAAGGGCAATGAAAAAAGTGATTTATGGCCGTTTTTCACAGTTATGACCTTTGCAGCCTCCCCATGATCACATGATCAAATTTCAGATGCTTGGCAACTCGTTCATGCTTATAATCATTGTTGTGTCCCAAGGTCATGTGATCACCTTTTGCGATCTTGTGACAAACAAAATCAAGGGGGAAGCCAAATTCACTTTAACAAATGGGTTACTAACTTATCAACTGCAGTGACTCACCTAACAACTGGGGCACAAAAGGTCGTAAAATGGGGCAAAATTCACAACATATATCTCAGTTAGCGATAGAAATTTGGGCTCAATTGTGGTCATAAGTCAAGGACTATCTGTATTGCTATTGCAAGTTGTCTTGTAATTCCATTCATTGAACAAGTGACTATTAAGTATACTAGTAATTGCCCTAAATTCCAAAAAGCATTAACATTAGCATATTTCAGTGTCCTCTCAACAGAAGTTCTTGAGGTCAAATATAAAATATTTCCTCACAAATTTAAGATTGTGCTCTTGTGGAGAAGGATCCCTTGAATCCATAGTTCAGCGGTCTCAAGCTTTTCCTCACCAGGGACCATTCTCTCGCTTCCAGGGCCCAGTTCCTAAGAGGTTGGGAACCCCTGCCATAATTCACGCCCTGTTATGTTGTGCCTTCTAAAAGAAGAATCTACTTTATAATGCTCTACTTAGGAAAATTCGTGGACTATTCTGATTTATTTTATGAGACCAATACCATTTTGCATTTTTGAACGTGGATACATTTTCTTATGCTCTCTTTAAAACTAGAAATGTCCTGATCACCTCAATGACTTAGTTCTTACGTTGCATTGCTTTAATTTATTTGTTTAAACTGTTTAATTATTTTATTAAATCAGTGTTCTGATTAATGACTCTAATAAAGACTACTACATAGTGCCACCTGGAGGCCAGCCAGGAGACAACAGATTGTTTGGAATTCTAAAGATGATATGCTGGGCTAGGGTGACATTCCTTCAAGCACATTCTTGATAAGTATTATGAGTGTTAAAGAGAAATATATACCTATTCACATTTTATCTGCATACCAGAAACTCCAAAAATAGTAGCGGATATGCTTCTGGAGCGGATTGTAGAACACTTCTTCTTGCTGGACGCTGTAGATCTACTCTGAGGTTCAAGTTTTTTTTAAGGATTTTACCACCTTTTAATACTTTTTTAAGAGAGAAGGAGTATAAATAATTACATTAGGAGATGGCTTCATGCCATATCTTATCAGTGGCATATCTGATCAGTGACTTGGTCAAAACCTCAAACAGTGGACACTGTGCCAGAGGTATTGTTCTAGCAGACACTTCTTGGGGAATATCTCATCACATCTCCAAGAAACAATAGTGGGTAATTGGAGCGGGAACTCAAATAAGTGGTCTTCTGATAAAAATAAGATATCACTTCTCGCAGGCAACACCTATATATAGTCTGCTAACATCTGATTAGTAAGAGACCCTTTGCTAGAAGTTCTTTTATGGGAAACAAATATTATGGGAAACACTGCTTCTAATGTGTAGCCATTGCCTCTCAACCTTCAGCAAGTGTTAGAGTAGGAAGCTCATGCACTCCATTTAGTTTTGAAAAGTACAAACATAGTTGAGAGGCTTGCAGGAAAGAGTGATAATCATACAATCTATAAGGTTTGCTGAGTGATTTTTTACAAGCATGTGTGGAAGAGTTTGCACACATAGCTCAGCTGGTGAAGAAACCTTTCCCACACAGTTATTTATTACGTTTGCAAAAAGAAAAAAATGTCCACACCCATATCTCCCCAACAGTCTTCCATGGTACCGATACATCCTGCTATGTTGAGGATGAAATCATTTACTGTAGCCCAGTTTATTCCAAATAAATTGAAGTGGGGATTATGAAATGGAAACTTGGAGTGCCAAGCTTGGTTTTTCTTCTTTTGTGCAAGAAGAAAATAAGCTGATAATACACTTTATTATGGGCTGTAAAAATAAGGAACACTAGTTTACCTTTTTGGAATTCTCTCTAGTAATTCTGATTAGGTAAATTAGCTCTTATTCCCAAGTAAGCATATTTAGGACTTCAAACAGGATTGGAAGTCCTAAATATACTTACCTGGGAAAAAGAAGCCTCACCATCTTCTTATTTCTCTTCACGTGTGCATTATCTCTTCAATAAACCTTCTATATCTATGATTGTCCACTTCTGATTCTCCAGAGTCCTCAATTAGAAGATAATCCGTCATGAATAGAGAAGGTATACATTGCAGGCATTCACATTTTTCATATTGAATCCCTTTTTAAAAAAAAATAAATAAATAAAGCAGTAACAGTTTCTTTTCCATCTTGCCTGCCTCCATTTCAGCTTTGAATTTTCATTATTTGCAACTCTGTTGCCTGTTTGCTCCATGGAGCTTGTATTTCCCTCCAAATCTTGACACCTGGATATATTTTTTTTAAATGTAGATCTTCTGTTACTGGTCAAACAAAGGATGCTAAAGATTATTTAGTGCGTGAAGTAAATCCATGTACAGGGCTATTTCGTTAAAAAAATATGAAATATCAGTTTTAATGTTTTATAATAATATTCCTGTTGAAAAAATGTGAAGCCAATTGCTTTGCTCAAATATTTAGATTATTCCTGATTGATTGCTGTGTTTCACAATTTTGGGGGTGGGGGTTATTTTCAAGTTATTTTTTGACTCTTGGCAATTGCCTGAAGAGGTTCCTGAAGTTTTCTTGTCAAGGTTTTTTCAGAAGCGGTTTGCCATTGTCTTCTACTTAGGAATGAGAGTGACTGGTCCAAGATCACCCAATTTGGGCGTACCTAAGGTTGCGGGTAAAACTCACATTCCTGGTTTCTAGCCTGATGTCTTATCCACTACACCAAATTTGTTCTATTAAATAGTAAATACTCTTGACATTAAAACTCATTTATTCAGGGATTTCTCATCTACAGCTTTTGTGTGTGTGTGTGTGTGTGTGTGTGTGTGTGTGTGTGTATGCTTTGTCAATTCAAATATCATTAAGCATATGTTCTCTGGCTGCTAATCTAATGGGAATAAATGTTTTATTTTCAGGTGTTACTCATAATATAGCATTGCTTCGTGAGGTAATAAAGCATCCACGCTTTATCCAGGGAGACATCAGCACGAAGTTTCTTCCTGAGGTGTATACAGAAGGCTTCAAAGGTGAAGGAAAACACTATCTTAGAAATAAATATGTGAAATAGCTATCCTTTCTTTTATTTTCTTTTTTAACTGAAAAGAGTTTCTAATTTTATAAATTCTTCTTTCCTAAATTCTAATTTTTGAGTTTCAATCTGGTTAAATTAAAGTTTTGTTAACATTCAAGAAGATTCAAATAGATATTAAGGGTCAAGTTACTTGACAATGTCATACAATAAAAGGCCTGGGGAAAGGCCTGATTTTTGCTAACCAAATATGGGTGTTTGTTTAGTCAGTAAGGAAGTACCAAGAGGCAGGAAGAAAATTCTTACTTTATTTTATTCCTTTTAACAAACGATTTAAGTGGCATACTACTGCTTGAAATGGATTCATGCTATGATCTATGAGTTAAAAAATTTGATTGTGAAAAATAAAATTTGCCTCATTAAATTTTCAAATAATACAGACTTTTATGTCTAGTGAGCATTTAGTGTGATTCCATTTAATTCTTCCATTAATCCTGGGACTAAAGGAATATGAGAAACCATACAGTACTTGCATTCAGTTTTGAGCATGCAAGATCCAGTTTCCCATTTACACAAACTGAATTGTCAATTTAAGAAATAATTTTATAATCCTTTGCTTTTTTAACAAGTTAAGAACTTTGAAGACAACTATTCCTTTTATGCTTGAAATACAATTTCTGCTTATGGTAGTTAAGCTTGGATAATACAAAGTACACATGTGTTGGGTGGGAAATAAGATTTTTGCAATTCAAGGTTCAATGAAATAAACATTGTTTTTTAACAATGTATTTTAATTCCATGAAATATCTTGACAGCTTTCCTATTAACCTCTGCTGGCAATTTTTAATTAAATTTTTTACTTGGAGTGAAATACTTGACACATATTCAGGCTAATTTTCAAGTAAACATGTTCCTTTTTATCAGTATAAAACACTTACATAGAGAAAGGGAGAGAGTAGAATTATTTACTTGTTAACCATCTAAGAATGAGAGAAAGTTTTCTATAGCTATAGAATTTCTTACCTATAAGCAATAAAATTCCATGTATGAAGACCTTATCTTCCTTTTTTCTTTTCTGAAATGTCCAACTAGTCCAAAATATTGTACTAGTATTGATAAGGAGGTATTTTTTTGTAAGCCAGCATATTTTGGAATAAATATGTGGAAGAGGCCTTCATCCTGCAGTAGATGCAGTAATGGCTAAAATGATGATGATGATGATGATGATGATATCAGTATATTTATTTCAAAATATGCTGTCTTAAAAAAAATTATCTTCATGGATCAAGGCTGTTGAGTCCAACTTTGTTAAATCAGGCTTTTCTCCATCCTCAATACTCAAAATTTTCAGGCAAAACAAACCCAAAGGTAGAGGACAGAGAGAAGGAAACGGACTTTGAGTTCTGCTTCCAGATTCTATCAGATATACTGTCACCCCGCCCATTATCTTAGCCAGTTAGAGACAGTGAATCATTGGAAAGCCTTCTCACTTGCACGATGTCTTGCGTTTCCATCGGCTATCCTGGTTGAAATGGTCTGGCTCTGTGATTCTGGACAGGTGGAAAACTCTGGGCATATCCTTCTTGCTGTTCTTTTTATAGAGACATTCAAACAAAATTTATCTTCCTGATTAATAGGTATCCTGTCCGTTCAGACACCGTTTATCTTCAGTGGCTGTTAAAGATGGATGGATTGTAGTCACAGCACAGGTAGCTAGATTCTGCGCAGTAGCACTAAAGATTTGTCAGAACCTGATGAATAATCCATTATAGCTATTTTACACAATTAGTGTACCAAGTCTTTTGGTATTATCACCTTATTGCATTTTAGTATCTAATGATAATGACTACAGGCCTTCACAATTTAAGGACTAATATTATATTATAGCTTAGGCTGTGTTCTTTATGTGCAACTGATAGACAGGATGCTAAATTAGGGTTTAACAAAGATTTTATTTGTTATTTGTTATTATTTTATTTTAGAATTTTTAACTAGATACTCCTTGAATATTTTTAATTGTGCTAGTTTTGTAATAAACATTTGACATGATATAACAGCTACCATGTTTCCCCGAAAATAAGACCCTGTCTTATATTTTTTTGAACCCTGAAATTTATTTATTTTTTTATTTATTTTTTAAATTTTTATACCGCCCCCTCTCCCAAAGGACTCGGGGCGGTGAACAGCCAAAATTAAAAGACATACAATATAAACATTAAAATACTATAAAAACAAAATTAAATTTAAATTGGCTTCCCTCAATCTAAAACCCCTTACCCATAAAATTCAACAATTAAAAGATTTTTAACCCAGCCTGGCTTGCTGAAATAAAAAAATCTTCAGAGCCCGGCGGAAGGTACGGAGGTCCAGGATCAGTCGTATCCCTGGAGGTTGCTGATTCCAGAGGGCGGGTGCCCCCACAGAGAAGGCTCTTCCCCAGAGGGTCGCCAGCTGACATTGCCTGACCAACGGCACCCTGAGGAGGCCCTCTCTGTGGGAGCGTATTGGCTGGTGGGAGGTTATCGGTAGCAGAAGGTGGTCTCGTAAATAATCGGGCCCTAAGCCATGGAGCGCTTTGAAGATGAGAACCAATACCTTGAAGCACACCCGGAAGACCACTGGAAGCCAATGCAGCTCGCGCAGGAGAGATGTCACGTGGGAGTGCCATGTCGCCCCCATAAGTACCCGCGCGGCTGCATTCTGCACCAGTTGGAGCCTCCGAGTGCTCCTCAAGAGAAGCCCCATGTAGAGAGCGTTGCAGTAGTCCAGGCGGGAAGTGACGAGGGCATGAGTGACCGTGTATAAGGAATCCCAATCTAGAAAGGGGCGCAACTGGCGTATCAGGCGAACCTGATAGAAAGCCCCCCTGGCCACGGCCGTCATATGCTCTTCTAAAGACAGCCGTGCATCCAGGAGGACACCTGAGTTACGCGCCCTCTCCGCTTGGCCTTATTTTCGGGGAGGTCTTATTATTTTGAGGTGCATGGAGGAAACCAGAGGAAATGGCGGGGACCGGCTGCTCATGCGTTTAAATATTTTCGGGGAGGGCTTATTTTCCGGGGGGGGGGGTTATTTTAGTGCATTCGCTCAAAAGCCCGATTGAGCTTATTATCAGGGGATGTCTTATTTTAGGGGAAACAGGGTATTAAGGAACCAAAAATTATACATATAAGATATGTTATATGTATACTTTGTAAGCTAGAAATTGGACTAAACAGTGCCATAACACTGAATAAAACCATTTTGCCATTTTTTATTCAGTATCGCTTTGTGTCATATGTAGTAAATAGTACATAAAATGGCTTACAACCAAATTTACATCAGCTGAAGTTTTTTATACTTAATATTTAAGAAGAAGTCTTCTATGTGGCACTGATCATGAGGACCTTGTTGAATTTAGAATATTTAATAAGTTTCAAAACAGGATTGATTAAACAATCAATTATCTTCAACGGCAAAAGCATCAGTGGATTAGATATGGGGGGTGGGATAGGAGGAATCAGATAGAATCAGGATCAGGGGAATAGGAGAACCAGGTAGAAATGCCCATATTCATGGGTTTTTTTAAAAAAAAAAGTCTCATTCTTGAAGTAATAGTAAAGAGAATATAAGAATAGTCATGATTCCAATATAAAAATAATATTCTCTCTTTAACCTATTTGCAGCAATGTACTTAAACCAATCCATATAGGGACATAGCTCAACTGTAGTTTGATTTAAATATATTTTATGCATTGGTCGGCTAACAAATTAACTTTGAAAATAATGTGCTATTTACATTAATATTGTCAAAGAAACATGACTAGATTTTATATTAGTCCATGTAGATTAAGAAGTAATGATTACAAAGAAACGGAACCAATTACAAAATAAAACCACGATTCTCTTCCACTCATAAAAAAAAGGAACAATGGCAACCAATATTTTACATTACTGCTTGGCATAATAACAGAAGTTAAAATGCCTGTTTTGCCAAAAAGGCTGCTTTTGTTTTAATCTCTTTATTTCAATTGCTTATTGTTTGGTTTTGTATAGGAAATATTTTTTCTTCACTTCTCGGTAATTATAAAAAAACCTCTAATCAGACAAACTATACAACATAAACATGAAGGATGTCTCAGCATGCCAAATTTGAAAATTATTTTGAATTTTTTCAATTAGTTAATTTTATTAGAAACTGAAATTTTCAGTAGATATAAAGTTAATCACTCTCCAACCATGGTGATTCAAGGACTTCCTGTAATTTTTTTCAAAATCACTTAATTAGGTTTCATTTTTCATATTCTTTTTAAAAATCTTTTAATATTCTATATCTCTACTGCTATCTTTTTCAACTATTTTTTTGACTTATAAAATAAATGGAAAACAGTCCAGTGAAAACAAAGCATTTGAACCATTTAAGGTACTTGCATGTGTATACTTGCATGTGTACTTGCGTTTCCCTATTGTTGTATGAGATAAACTTTGATCAGCAAATTAATACTAACATGTTGAGGATAAAATCAAACTCCTGAAATCCTATGAATTTTTTCATAATTATTATAAAGGGGGCGTGATGGCTCAGTGGTTAAAGACGCTGAGCTTGTCAGCTGGAAAACTGACAGCCTAGGTTCGAGAACCAAGTGCTGTGCAATGGAGTGAACTCCCATTACCTGATCCGGCTCCTGCTTACTTAGCAATTCAAAAACATGCAAATGCAAATAGATAAATAGGTACCACTTCGGTGAGAAGGTAACAGCATTCCATGCTACTTGGCATATAGTCATGCTAGTCACATGACCATGGAAAATGTCTTCGGACAGCACTGTCTCCCTTGCCTAAGAAACAGAGTTGATCACCGCACCCTAGAGTCAGACATGACGAGAGGGGAAACCTTTACCTTTATTTTACCTTGCTATATGACCAATAGATGTTCTGATTCTTAGAATTGTCCTGGTTTGTAATAAGCATTGTCAGAATGTGTCAAAACTAATAATAGTTTTTAAAAATAGTAAAATAGTTTTACTTGAATGCTGACAAGAAGATAGATCAGGGGTGTCAAACTCAAGGCCCGGGGGCCGGATCCAACCCGTGGGGTGCTTAGATCTGGCCCGCGGAGCTGCCCTGGAAACAGTGAAGGACCAGCCCGCAGTCCCTCTGCCAGCAAAAATGGAGCTCAGGAAGGCTGCGTGCAACCCTCTCGAGCTCTATTTCTGCTGGCAGAGGGTTGCAGGAGCCTGTTGCAGCCGAAAATGGAGCTTGTGAGGGCTGCAGGCGATCCTCTCAAGCTCTGTTTTCACTGGCAGAGGGTTGCAGGAGGCTGTCACAACTGAAACGTAGCTCGGGAGCCCGTTTTCGCTGGCAGAGTGCTCGGGCCACCACAGGCGTCCCCAACACGAGTGACATTGAACTGGCCATGGCCACCCTGCCACCCTGGCCACGGCCACCCTGGTCACCCAAAATCAAACACAATCCTAATGCCGCCCTCAATGAAATCAAGTTTGACACCCCTGAGATAGATAAACTATTTGTACAAGAGCTGATAGGCAACTCTCTATAGGGGAGACAAGCAGGAAACAAATGAGTCTTGTCATCATCCTAATGATGCAACTGTGTTCTTGCATCAGATGCCATGAAACATTACATAATCATCTCATTTGCCCAAATATACTGTGACGCATGTGCCATCGTTTTGACATTACAATGGTCAACCCTTGACACCTAGGTTGGTACATTACTATAATAGGAAATGAAGATCTGAATGGGACTCATATGATCCAGTGGTAGCATAAAGGCAACATCATATTCCCTTGTCATTCTTACTATCTATGGATAGTGAGATGGGCAGCGTATAAATTTAATAAATAAAATAATAAAATAAATCCCAGTAACATAGGTTACTGGGATTAATTTATAAAATTCTCAAATGTATTAGTTGAGCAATACCTTTTGAAAAATGACTTTTCACAGAGATTATGTTGCACAAGAGAGTCTTGGATACTATTTATGACTTGGAACATCTATGCACATCAAGTCAAAGCCCATGAGCAACAAAGCATATATGCATAATCGAGAAATTTTTGTCTCCTCCTCCTCCTCCTCCTCCTCCTCCTCCTCCTCCTCCTCCTCCTCCTTCTCCTCCTCCTCCTCCTCCTCCTCCTCCTCCTTCTCCTTCTCCATTAACCTGTACAGAGAAAATGAGGAAGCTCATTTAACATACATCTATAGGGTAGACTGGTAGTATTAAAATAAATAAAAATTATGTTCAAGAAAATTTTAGCTAAATGAAAGTAATTAAAAAATTATTAAGATTGTAAAAATTTCAAATGTAACATTTCAAGTAACATTTCAAGTAACATTGAAATGGATGCCACCAAATAGAAACAGTAAAACCAGCTGAAAAGAATTTAAACACCTGACAAACCAACAAGAATATGAGACAAATAGAAAAAAAAAATCAATTTTATGCAGAATACTGGGAATAAACCATATCCATCTGACCACGCTTGACCAGATTAGTTACCACATGCTTTATTTTATATGCACCTGCATAGAACCTAATTGTCACACATTGCTTCAGGATTAATATCAGAAATATCACTCTCAGTCAGGAAATAAAAATTGAAACACGTGCTGCTAAAAGCAGATTCAATAAACAAACAAATAAATAAATGAAACGAAACCAGTAGAATAGAGCCCTTGACCCCTCTGGTTAACTACTTTTGAAGTGATATTACTGTTAGGAAGTTATTCCCATCCTCTCTCCTCTCTACTAATAAATTTATTAGTCCACAATCTCTACTTTGGAAGGAAAAGATACTTGTGTTGGTTTTATTTCTATGTGATAGTTTTCCATATGCCCTAACGCATACCCTAAACCTAACCCTAACCTCTCAGTTACCTGTCCTCAATCTAAACATACCCATTTCCTTTATTGGAGTGCTCATTTTTAAACCTGTTTTAATTTCTTTGAATTCTTTTTGAATCTAATTCTAACTCTTTAAATTGTGATGCTCAGAAATAGAGATAATATTTTAAGTGGGATCTGATCTGATCAAAGCAGAAAAGAATGGAATATTTTTTCCCAGTGACTTGGAAATTAAATTCATTGATATAGCCCAAAAATTGTACGAGCTTTTTTGCAGCCATATCATACTGCTAATTTCTATTCCATTTTCAATCAACTGCTGTTCTAACATCTATTTCAGGTTCTATTTTCATACAATAAGTTCCCCATTTTATAAATAATTTGATCTTTTCTTCCCCGAGTGAAGAACATTTCACGTCTCCATTAAATTTTATTTTGTTACTTTCAGCTGATATTCCATCTTATGAATTTTATTTTATTTCTTAAAATATTAACTGTCCTATCTAGTTTTTTTATTTTAACCTTTATAGAGGAAAAAACTGAGAGGTTTTGTTACTTGGTGGTATATATATTACTGGCAAGGTATATGAAAAACTGGCATTGTATAAAATGCCTAGGAAATTATAGAATGTATGACGTTTTTAGGCAAAGTATGAAATGTCTGTGTTATTTGACTATGCTACATACTCTTCCTAGGCATTATATATAATATTATATATATATATGTGTGTGTGTGTGTATGGTATGTAATATATATGTATTATGGATGTGTGTATGTATATGTATATGTAGATGATGATGATGATGATGATGATAATAACAATAATAATTTATTAAATTATTAATACCCTACTCAGAACAGCTTAGATCCTCCGACGATACCTTAACAGTTCCTAGGTCCTTGGTTAGGACTTGAGCTGCTAAGCTATTAACCAGTCTCAAAGGCTGTGAATCTCACCAAAGATTAACCATAATAATTTATATATATAATGCCTTGGCATTATGCAGAATGGCAAGAATTTTCTGCCAGGAAGAGAATCTCACCTCCTAGGCTGCCCCGCGAGATGCCAGGGCTGCCCCAATATACCGGGGCTGCCCCAATCGGCGAACTCTGATGAATTCTGTGCTGGGGCGACGGTGCACATGCCCACAGAGAGAGCTCTGAGTGCCCCCTCTGGCACGCGGGCCATAGGTTCACCACCACTGTCCTAGGCACTCCTAGAAAACAAAACAGTAAATGGCTCCAAGTGAGATATTTAGAATTGTGCACCATGCCCAAAGAAGAGATAAGGTAACCTGGAATGGTAGTCATCATCTTGTGAGACTAGAGTTGGATGAGGGATCATCTTTCTTCTGCCTTCTATTCAGTGTGTACCTTATTTGAAGAAGCCTCTTTTTGCAATTGGGAAATCTTCTGGCAAGAAGTTATGATAAATGTTGTGACATGCTTTAAAATTTCTTATGTGCCCATTGACCACAAACACATAGCAATTCCTGTTTTAACTAAAATGAATTATGAAATATAAATAAGATGGTGATACATATAATACATTTGAAATTTGATTTTGAAATCTAGGGCACAGATTGAAAGACTCTGAAAAAATGGAGCTACTAGTAATAGCAGTGTCTCTATATATGGCTGAACAACTTAGATCACAGAGATTTCTGGGAACTCCAAGGTAAGTCTGATTCTAGAACATTTTGTTAGTTAATGGTGTCATAGAGAGCTGTTGAGAACTGACAAGATTATTATTTGTTCCCTTTAAACATTTTGTATATGAATGTAGGTTCTTTTTCACATTACCTATTAAAGGTCATCTGGACAATAAAGTCAACATAGATTGTAGATGAACAATCTGAAGCTTCAGACTGCCTCAAATGTTTGGGTGAAACTCTTTAAAAATCCAGGAGAGGGAGAAAATTAATAAATATCTTATTAACTGTAATAATTTAATTTCATTTGAAATAAAATGAATTTATTTTTGGGCTGGCTGCTATCTAATTTTTGGATTGTGACTAGGTGAGTCACAGTATACTATGTATAAATGAATGAATGAATGAGAAAGAGAAAAAGAAAGAAAGAAAGAAAAGAAAGAAAGAAAAAAGAAAGAAAGAAAGAGAAAGAGAAAGAAATTATCTTTGTCAAACAGACTGTGCTGCTCAGGTAGCAATCTTCTGTTCCAAACAACATGCTGAAATTTAGAAATATGGAAGCTGTGATAACTATATGTATGTTGATATGTACATATGTATGCATGTGTATGTATGTATGTATGTATGTATGTATGTATGTATGTTGTTATGACATTTATTTGCTGCCTATCTTGTATCCAATGAGCATGAAAACTTTAAAGCATTAAAAACATTAAAATCAACAATCATAGAACACAGTGGATAAAATCATTAATAAATACAAACCATTAACACCAGATGGGAAAGAAGGGACTCAGACATACTGGGTGGGGGTGTGGAGGTGAGATTAAGTTTTAGTTAGTCAACCACCTCCAGTATGAAAATCCTCTATTGTATGAACATAGAATGTCTTAAGTTTTGGGAGAAATAGTAAGTTTTATATAAATCACCATAGCAGTACAGGTTAGGTTACTAATTTTAAATTTTATGAATAAAAGCATTCAGTCATGTGCCATTTTCCTCTAAATAGAAATATCTGCTCCATTGCTTTCATCCATAACTTTAGGAATATACATTCAATATATTTAAGTTATAATTATGTGTTAGAAATCTGCATGAAATTAATAGTTAATACTCAATATGTTGCCTGAATTTTCTGTCTCCTGGTTCAGTACTATCACTGTAAACCTATTTTTGTAGTTTAGGCATATGTATGCTAGTTATGGCTGGACATTTCATTTTTGGGTGCTTTAAATCATATTTGTTCATTAAAATTGTTTTCATTGAGCTACTTTTTATACAGAGGGTAGCCTTTTTAAGTAGACATCTGCTCACACAATGGGAAGTTCCCTTCTGCTCTTCCTCTCTGTATCCTCTGTGCTTGCCGAATTTGCTCTAATTGAAATAACATAGTGATTTCTTAGTTCCTTTTAAAGGAATAAATACTCTAAAATGTAAAGTTATAGATGCAGCATTGTTTTTAGAAATGCAAAATGCAACAATTTGACACCTAAATTCTCAAATTTTCATGGATTTATTGTGCTAGTTCATATTCCAAATCTATATTAATTGTTGTCTTAAATGCATCTATTGAATGTCCTGCTGGCAAAGAAATTCTCATGAACCTTCACAGTTGGCCATATTAGCTAGCATTTATGGGAATTAGAATAGCACAGATGGTCCTCAACTTACAACAGTTTATTTAGTGACTGTTCAACGTTACAACGGCACTGAAAAAAGTGACTTATGACCATTTTTCACAGTTAACGACCGTTACAGCATCCCATGATTATGTGATCAAAATTCAGATGCTTGGCAACTGGTTCATTTGTGACCTTCTGACAAGCAGAGTCAATGGGGAAGGCAATTCACTTAACAACTGGTTTACAACTGCAGTGATTCACTTAACTGAGGCAAGAAAGGTAATAAAATGGGGGCAAAACTCATTTAACAAATGTCTCACTTAACAACAAAAATTTTGGGCTCAATAGTGGTCATAGATTGAGGACTACCTATACAATATTTGGAAGGTTACATCTTGCTTTTTGCTGATCTGAGACATAGCTCTGTGTTAGGATAATTTTTGTGATGGAAAAGTAGCATGAACTATTATCATATGTGGAAACTCAGGTTTCTCTAAGATCATCAGTGGTGCGCTCATGATATTATCTTTTGGGGTGATATTATTATATTCAGTGGTTGATCTCTAAATCAGGGGTCTCCAACCTTGGCAACTTTAAGACTTGAGAATTCTGGGAGTTGAAGTCCACAAGTCTTAAAGTTGCCAAGGTTGGAGATCCCTGCTCTAAATGATCATTCTGACAGCAAATGGCTACAGTGTGTTTGTGTTTGTAATCCTTGGTACTATGGTTGATTTCCATATCCCTCATTATCTCGGTGAGCCTCCTCTGAATGTGTTTCTCACTGCTGTTTCTGAATAGTGTCCTGCAGAACTGGAACTCCAAATGGGTGTGAGCAAGACAACATAGACTGCAACAATAACCATCCATGATTGAGTGGATTCTCTTATTAAAGTACTACTGCAAGTTAGCATTTTAATCTATCTCATGTTTAGCTTGTGGTTTACAAGGATTCCCAGATTCCCTTTGCAAGTATGAGATGTGATGAAATGAGATGTGTTATATCTGACAGTGTACCGCCCCATCCCATCCCCACATAACTAAATATATTCCTACCATGAGTTTGCATTTTCCACTTTTTAGCTTGGAATTTTAAAACTTACTGTTCATTCAATTATTTTTCCCCTAAGGGCAAAGTCACAGAATTATTTCTTCAAACTAGTTATCAAAACGTTCGATATTATAGAAATCTAGTTGGCAGATGATATTCAGATAATAGAGCTAGCCATTTTCATGCAAAGGAGTTACAAACAGTGAATGTGTTTAAGTGCTTGGTACAGTGGTGGGTTTCAATTTTTTTTACTACCGGTTCTGTGGGTGTGGCTTGGTGGGTGTGGCTTGGTGGGCGTGGCAGGGGAAGGATACTGTAAAAATCTCCATTCCGTCCCCAATCCAGGGGAAGGTTACTGCAAAATCCCCATTTCCTCCCGATCAGCTGAGAGGCAGAGAATAGATGGGGGCGGGGCCAGTCAGAATTTTTACTACTGGTTCTCCGAACTACTCAAAATTTCCGCTACCGATTCTCCAGAACTGGTCAGAACCTGCTAAAACCCACCTCTGGCTTGGTATACTTTGCATAGGTTTTAATCGGTTTACTTAATACCCTGATTTATTATATAACGGGTACCACTTTTTGGTAAAGATCAAGCTTATATTATGCAGTGAAACAAAAATCTTTCAATTGTCATGTTAAGAATATTGTTTCAAGTGGAAAACTTTTAACTTAAATGAAAGTAGATTGCTTGGATACCCTTCCCCCCCCAAACTTAAAGTGTTGTTCATCTCCTATATTTGGCTGGAATTCTAATTTATAAAAGAGATTAGGTGAATAAATGCTCTAGGTGGGATATTTCATGGGTCCATCAGTGTAATGTTTGTATTTCTAAACTCAAACACCTACTGCACTTCCTATGTGTTGCTTGTATTGGCTACTAATATTTTCCTATTATCACTGTTAGTTTTGGCGTCCCATAACATGGAAAAAACCACTGTATTACCAACAATGGCACATTGTACTTAAAATGTGACAATTTTTTTTTTTTTAAAAAAAACACCAACAGATTATTTGTTTAAAGTTGAAGGTAGTAGGATACCTTTCTTGCAACTTAGTGTTCTCTGGATGCACTTGCTTTTGATTATAGTGGCTGGAAATTATAGAAGTTGAAATCAATACAATTGGTGGATATCAGATGACAACAGAAGCAGCCATTTGAAAACCTTGTCTAGGTAGATTGATCCCATTCTTCTTTCCTTTTGTTGGGCTATTGTTATGTTTCATTCAAATCAGACTTTCCTTTTTGGGATAATGAAATGGAGGCAACGGATTGTTGGAAGATATAAGGATTACAGGGCTTAATTGAGACACGTTAGAAATGAAAATAAATATAAGTACATACTGTACATTGTTACATTTACATGGTTATTTCAAAGAAGTAAAGCTATTTGGAGTCCAAATCCTCTTGTGGATTGTGCAGCATTTTTTATTTCAAGAAGGAACCTGCTGTAGTTCTCTGGAATACCTTGGGCCACCAGGTACTTGGTGGTATAAGATAGCGAAGGAGTCCTGAAAGTGACTTGAGGTGATATTAAGTATGTAAAAGTAAAATGTTTTGGATATAATATTATTTCATTCAACTGTATTAAAAAGAGTGGAAGTGATGCTTTTCTTTCTTTGTTCCCTTTGCTTTCTCTCCCCTTTTCCTTCCCCTGTTTTCTCACAATTTTCATTGGTATTTTATATTTTTATAAGCTTAATAAAATTATTTAAAAACACTATCTTTTTTAAGATTTTATCCTATCTTACTTTTCCATGTCTCTGACTTTTTGTAATCAAAGAGGTTAATTTTGAACAGTTTCTACTCTTGCTTCCTAAAGTTGTGAATAAACAAAGTGTCGAGTATCTGTTTACAAGAAGCACCTAGAATTCTGATAATTTATCTCAGATACATGTGAAATTAATAACAGAAATATGGCACTAAATATGGCAGGGCTAGTTGCTGACAATTTTGAGTTATTGAATATAAAACTCATTATCTTGATTGTCTTGCTTAATGGAGAAACTAGTTATCTGGGAATAATCTATCACCTAAATGAGCTATTTTCTGGTAGCTATAAACTATACATGTAGAATTCTTATAACACGCAGTTGTCTGCATGTAAAATCTGTGGCTACGCATACACACAATATCACATAATAATGCATGCATTATGCATGTATATATAATTTCAGACACACAGTATGAGTGGGTCTACTTCCCACGATTTTCTGGAGATATTTGATTTAGTCAAGAATGCAAACCATATGTAACGAACTCTCGGTCAGCACAGTTGATCCCATGTGATTTTAAGTGCATTTGGAATTTTCCAAAGCAGTTGGCCGTGAGAGAAAAAGGAAACAAGTTGGAAGA